AGTTATTTTCTTTCTTTAAAAAGACAGAAACACACACACACACACAAAACCTCACCAGAGCTTCAGATCAACTTTTTTTTCCTTTTTTTTTCCCCCCAACTGAGATGATCCTTTCAGTATCTCTGCTTCTCTACTTTAGCAGTTTTAGTAAATATGACTGTAGGCTAGAAACAAATTTGATGTTTTGATGTACTCATTACTAAAAATATTAAGTCTCTGGAAAAAGAAGCAGACAGTATACAGGCAGTAAAGTATATTCTCCTGTTTGTTATTTTTTTCTACTGTTTTCAGTAATAGCTATGACAGCACATGCTGGTAATAATCAACTAAGCTCCATTCTCCTGCTCCCATTGTAATAGGGATTTTATTTGTTATCCAAGATTCTCTAATACTAATGCTGGTTTGTTTTAGTATTTACACACAGCCAACGTGTGTTTAGCACTATTAGATTTATCAGTTGCTCACAATCCATGAAAAGCACTACTTCTAGCTTAAGGCTCTTTCAAGGCCAGTTTCTGATGATAATTTTGAAAATAGATATCATAGGTAACTGTTACAGGCACGCAAAGAAACTTTTGCCCTTTTCTTCTCTAGTGCTACAGGAGTAAAATCCACATGTTGTTACATATTGATATAACAAAAGGCTTTGATTAAATTTCAAGTTCACCTCAAATCTAATCGACAGATGCAAAAACTTGTTCTAAGAAATTTGCTGCATTCTCAGTTACAGTTATACTCACAGGGAATTTAGATGAATTAGACCTGACAAAATCTGCAGGAAGACTCTCAGAAGCCAAGCAAGATTGTTATAAATTCCAAGACTGTCAAGCCACAGCACTAACCCAAAAGTCAAATTCTGTTTTTGTTATTGTGAGGGCAATGCTTTTTTTCTGAGAGCAAAAACAGGCTTTTTGACCCAGACTTTAAAAAGGTCTGCATTTAACCTTACCAAGTTTAAAATAAACTTTGCTTCAACTGTAGCTTTGCTTGAGCTAGACATGTTTCACCTGGCTCAACTTCCTATATTTTGGATGGTTATTCCTTCCGAACTGCTCTTCAACAAAGAGCTACATTCCATTTTCACTATCATTATTTAGAAAATATTCCAAGGTAGTTGCCTTCTATAATAAAAGTAATATTAAAAAAAAAAAAAAAAAAAGGAAAAATTCCTCCTTGAGAATTACCAACTCAAATATACCCTCCTTTGCTTACAGGCTTACCTGGTGGAAGATCACTCCAGTCAGCATAGTTGTTTATGCTCAAGTAACTGAGACACTCTATCATTCCTTTCTTCCCCATCTTCCCAAAACCTCTGTCTCTGTCTATAAGAGGTTAGTGAATACTAACAGACAAGTACAGAGAAGTGGATGTTGGTTCTCTGCATTTCCTGTAGCATTAAAAACCAGAAAGATGATCAGCAGATCACTTGATAAACCAGAAAACAAACACCAAAACTTGTGCATCACCTTCTGATCTAAAAGTCAGCTGGCAGAAGCATCAATTGACTAGCAAGGTGCTCAGTTAACTTACCACTTAGGAAAAAATTACCATCTGGCCAATCAAAAACCTTAAAATTCTAAATGCCAACATCTACTATCAAAAATCTTAGACTGTATAAGGGAATTTTTAACATATTAATTTTTAACACATCCATCCTGAGAATTTCCTATTTGAGAATTCTCCAGTTCTTCATACTGCAATGCACTGTCATAAATACACTTTTTTCCTCTAGTTGGAAAATTGCCTTTCCCTTAATGATTAACTGAAACTTGACTATTTATGAGAAATGTACACAGTTCATTGGACAACTGTAACTCAGTTTGAATGGAAAACATTTACATAAAATAGCTCAGAATCACCAACAGAATAAAGGCATATTATCTAAGCCTTCAATTAATGTCTGTTTACTTTTTTTCATAATGACACATAATGGCCTTGTAGAAGAATGACAGATACCTTTATGATACGTTCAAGGATTTTTATAGGAATTTGATAGAAATCATGAATGGAAATAAAACTATCAATAGAGCATGTGAGTTAAAATCAGCAAACTACAGCAAGTTTGGCATGGATGATGGTCAATTAAAATTTTTTTTCTGTATCTATGAGAAGTGAAAAATGCTGGGCTTAATTAACGTTTGCTTTAAGCAGGTGTCACACTTGTTTGTTTGGGTTTTTTTTTTTCCAAATTCGTCATGCCTCACTCGTTTAGCATCTCTTCTCCCTGCTGCAGGACAGTTGTATATTTCTGCTTCTTTAAGAAATTTAGAAATTAGAGATAGAGTCGTCCTTTTATGTCATTATTCCATTGCTGCTTCTACTTATCACCTTGGATGTGCTTCTTTCCATCAAACTGCAGAGTCACTGTTCTGTTAAAGGAATTCAGCCTCAAAACAGCTGTGACAGCATTAATACAGATTTATGGAAACTAAATGCAAAGTAAAAGCAATACCATAATTTATGTTATGCAGAATAATTTTACTTTATCTGTAGTCTCAATCAGCAGCCAATTAAGACATTTTGGATTTGAGGTAAATGCAGTTCTTGTCAACAGGGAAGGTTTCTTATTTTTTGCTTTAAATGATCCAATTGGAGAGACTCCAACTCACTGCAGCTGCCTTCATTACTTAACTTTTGGTTTTATTCTAATTTTTTTTTCTCTGGCTTTTTCTTTTCTTTTGTAGATCACTTTACCTTTGCTTTATAAACTTCCTCATTGTTTCATTGTTTTAGTGTCTTGTTTCCTGTCTCCTACAAATACAATATTTATCTTCCTGGGGATTACTGTACTTTATCACCATCTACCAAACATTTAGCTTTAAAAGAAATAAGCAGATTGAAAACTGAGACAAGCCAGACCCACACATTCACATACCTGCATTCAGTTTGCTTTTCACTCCATTATCTTTCCTAAAATGACATTTAAAACTTGATCTAATGTGTTACATTTCAACTGAAATGTAGAAACAGAGGGATTATCATATTATTTCTTTCAACAGTTACCCCAAAAAATTTAAATCAAGCATTTCTGTCTTAAGAATAAGCCATACCAAGCTGTCCCAAGCATCTCCAATAGCAAAATATGGACCACATGCTTCCACAACAGGGAAACCAGCACTAATGTTTTCTGCTAACTTGATCTGAAAGGCTGTTTATTCTACAGCCATGCTTCATCATCAGATTTAACGTATGTGATCAGAATTAGACAAGAATACAAGGAAAGTTTCTCTCATCTCAGCAAGACAGCATCCCCTCATATCTTTTTCATTTGTTTAGAGTTGTCTGTGCATTGGAAAGAAAACGGCTTTCTGATGCTACGGGAAGTTACCAGAAACCTTTGAACCACAACGTGATGCAGAATGCTGGAGATCAGAACAAAGATACAACACAGCTCTAAATAGTTGAACCTCGGTATGTATGCTTTAATTCTTCTGCAAGAGCCTACTTGGGTGGAGGAGGGCACAAGCGGACACTGACTACACCAGGACCTAAATGCTGGCATCTGCATACCACTGAAACACAGAGGTAGCAATTTTACAGTCCATTTACAGTCAAAAGTTTGTTCTGCAGTAAATAACTCACCCAACTGCTTATACATTCTTCATATCTCTTAACAGAATGCCACTTCCTATAGCACAGCTCCAGGAAGCTGCATCCCACACTAATCACAGGAAACTGCCTTCTTATTTGGTAGTCTCCACCACATATGAGAATACAGTCATGCATACAGGTTTTTGGTTTTTTTTTTTTCTATTAATTTTATCTTTTTAAATAAGCACAATTACAAATTATCAATTTCCAATTGCTATCTTTAGAATGATTTTTTTTCCTTGCATTGTATGTTGCCATCTGTTGCAATGATAACTATTGACCTCAACAGCATTTCTGTGACAAATTGTATGTGCTAACGGGTTCTGTCTGCTTCTCCAGAAAATTCTGAATTTATTTGCCAGTTCCAGCCTTGCCAGATGAAAGGAGCACATCTCCAAAACATCAGCTCCTTCCACACAGCGTGAAAAACAAGGTTTTGGTAGAGTAACATGAGAAAATGACACCAAGGAACAGACTTCACACTGATGCTTGTGAAACCACCTTTACTCCTAAAGGACCACGCTGTCATCCTGCCTCGGGATGAAGCATCTAAATTCAATCTCATGGAGAATAACCGATTTATGATGCTCATGGAACTGCTCAGTAATTTATTGTTTCAGGTTAGGTCTACTGCATCACTCATTTCAAAGACCAGCTCCAGCCTTTGCTTCAGGAATAACATTCTCTCTCCAAACCCCAGTTTTCAAAGGTTCTAATTTCCCAAACCACCTATTTTAACCTAAAACACCATGTTTACACTCAGGTCTCAAAGGTGAGTTTGCTGTCATTTCAGATGCAATTTCTCATCACACCAAACCACTGTATGCCTCAACCCGAACCACTGAGTAACAAGAAACAACCAGAATTTCTGTGGAAAAAAAGGCTCATTTACGACAGACTGAAACACTCCGAACGCTCATAAGGCTGTTTGAGAACTCACTCGTGGATGTAACGTAATAACATATTGTGCCAAACTGCTTTACCAGGTGAGTGGAAGAGGTGCTTCCTACATGCTTAACCACTTAATAATTTATGCTTTTAACAAGGTACTGCCCATAATTCGGGCATTTAGCGGCAATCAGGCTGGGATACAAACACCCGAGAAATGCAGAGCACGGTGCTCCCCCCTGCAGCCACGCCGCAGCCCAACACAGCTCCCCCACCCCTCAGAGTAAGACCCCGCCCTCAGCTCCGCGCGCTCCCGGCGAAGCCTCGCGAGAGGCCGCCCCGCTTCCATGTTGCCACGTTCAAAGCCGCCGGCGACGGGGAGCGTGGCGGACACGCGCAGCCCTCACGCAGCCGCTCCTCCCGCCCCCTCCGCCTCGCAGCCAATCGGCGCAGAGAAAGGTCACGCCCCGTCGCCCCGTGCGCTCCGCCATTGGCTGGAGGCTGCGGGCGGGAGGGGAGGGGGCGTGCCCGGCTCTTGGCCGCGGTGGCTGCCGGCGCTCCCGCACGCAGCGCTCGGGCGGCGGCGGCTCCTGACTCATTCCCGGTCTAGCCCCGCCCCGCGTTACCTGACAGGAGGCGCCATGGCCTCCCGCAAGGGCTCCAAGGGCACCGGCGGCACTCCCGGCCCCGGCTCTAAGCGAGGTGAGTGGGGCTGCGTCTTCTGGACGGGTAGCGGCGGGTGGGGGGCGGGGGTCCGGCGCTCCGTCCCGGCCTTCACCTGCTCTGGAGTTCAGGCGGAGGCGAGACGTGGCCTAGGCGGCTCCGGAGAGGTCCTCTGAATGGATCGGGGCGGGTCTCAGGCGTCGGTGGTCCTATTGCAGAGGCCTGGGGTGGAGTTGAAGCGCCCGGTGGGGGATTGCTGTGGTGCGTGCGTTCGTCTGTGTGTGTTTAGAACATCATCTTCTACTGCTGTGCCCAGAAGCAGCGGTCTGGGGGTGCTGGATCTGTTACAGGTGCATCAGCTGACCTGATGGCTATACAGAGTGCAGGAGGATACAGGAGTCATCCTGGAAGCGTGCAAGCAGAAGGTGTTTCGGAGAGAGCTGCCCTTCTGGCAGTGCTGCACCAAATCTGAGTTAATAAACTGCTCAGCATTCTCTTGGTGGGGTAGGCAGGGAAAGCCCCGTGTGCACGAGGTTCTTTCAGCACAGCAGGTCGTGCCTGACTGAGGAGAAGGAGGTCTGCTTCCACTGCAGCAGGTAGAGGAGCTGCTCCTACCGAGGGTTTGAGAGCTGTCACTCGGGTCTGAGCCTTGCTGATGTATGGAGCGTGATGAAGATGGTGCTGAAGCAATCTCTGCTGTTTCTCCTTGAGTATAGCGATAACACAGAGAACAGTATTTGTTAAGGGATGAACTACATAGGATTAGCTTATCTATCACGTGATGAATTGAGAAAAAAGATTTCAAGTGCTGTTTAGGCATGCAAGAGATGATATACAGTGATAACTGAAGTGGGCGGTTGCTTTTCGTTTCATCCTTTTTCAATTCCTGGCATGGGCAATAGTCACTGCATTACATTTTTTCCTTGGAGTGGGGCTACTTGTTGTTCGTCTGCAGTATTAAGCAAGCCGAAAACATATTTCCAATGATAATGTGTAATGAACATGCATCTCTTGTACAATTTTGAATACTACAGATACTCAAGCAGTTCTGTTGTTATTTTAAATATTGCTTCAAAGATTGGATGATGTTTTCAATGCATCAAAGCATTCTGTAGATTTTTATTTTCAGACTAAGTAAAATCACATATTTTTAAAAATTATTAAGAGCTTTCTGGTTTGTGTCATTGCACAGGGAATTCTTTATTTACTGTTGTCAGTGAGGGGTGTAGCACTATGAGTAATGTGTTAGGCAGGCTCCTAGGATGTAACCTCTTAAATTTAGACAAATCTCTTGCTAGTTTCAGTTACTACTAGATAAAATCTTTTGGATAAGTGTAGAAATTGAGGCCGATGCCATTTTCATAGGTGGAACTGAAGAAAGAGGTGATGGATGGTAACTCCCAGGTGAATAAAAGACCACTGGGGGAAGCAGAATCTTTATAGCAGGCACGGAGCATTCTGCAGTTTTGGGACAGTTGGTAATTGACACTGTGAGACATGGAAACCTCAACCTTGAGGCTCTGGTACTCACTTTCACAACAACTTGTGGGTGAGGATGAGGCTCTTTGCCACAGCATTGCTCACAGCTCTGAAACCACGAAGTTTACAGTGCATCTTGAAATCTGTGCAATGCCTCAATCTGAATGCAGTAATTTGCTTCGAGGTTTCCACATTAGGAGATGTTGACGTTATGGATAGATTAGGTCTGAAATAGTACTAACTGGAATGTTCATGTAACTGTCTTAAGTTTCATTGAAATGTCAGAAGTGCAATAAAGTATCACTTGGTCTTGAATTAACTCAAATTTCACAAGGCAGGAAATTTGGAAATACCTGGGGCATTAGCAGGTGTCTTTGAAGAAGCCTTCCAGTAAAAGTGAGGATCAGCAACACAACTGCTTTCAAAATACAGATGGATGAAAAAGTCTGAGTAATGTTATAGGTTGTATTTATTTGTAGAATTAAGGGTAGTGCTGCTAAGACATTTAACTTCATGTGATATGCTGCTATATTTTCTCCCATAGTACTTAAGGGAGTGCTTAAATCTATATCTCACTGGTCCCATAGTTATGCAGTACTTGGTGTCTGTCTTCTTAACAGTTCTGTGTTTTGGATGGAGGGAGGTTTGACATCAGAACTAAAAATGCAGTTTCTAATGTGTCATTTCTGTGATGCTAGTTTATGTGATGACATATTAAGAATTTTATGCTCTGTACCTGTTTTGTTTGTAAAATGTGTTTAAATAGAATAATTTGCACAGTGCTTGAATGGAAACATGGCCTATATATATCCACACTTAAAAAAATAAATAAATAAATCCTTTATTTTCTTTTCATATATCATCCAGATGTTTCCTAGCCTAAGTTACTTTACCAGTAATTTAGTATCAAGCTTCTATAGCGGTTACTTAGAATTGCCTCTGGTAGAAGGTGGGAAAACATTCCCTGTGCAGTTGTGATAAAAACTATGAAAAAAATCCCTCTAGCTCATGTTGCTAATTGTGGCAGCTGGCAGCTAAAATGTAAGAAGTCCATATTCTCTAGAGGAAATGTAACCTTTGTGAGTGAAACAGGGCTGGAGTGGGAGGCTAGTTCTCTAGTAAGTTAGACACTGTAACAAAAAACACATTTCTGGCACAAAACATTACCTACTTCTATAGGTAATTGCATTATTATTTTCTTCATGCATTAAAACCAAATTCCTGCTTCTGTAAGTTCTCCGTCTCCAAGCTGTAACATCTTAATCTCTATAACAGCAATCGAGATGACCTTCTGATATACCCTACTTTTCCTTGCAGAGTCCCAGAAGATGTTTGATTTTTTTACTTCTCCTTTTTTGAACCACATAGGGTCCTTGTATTTCCAAATGCAAATCTGTTCCCAAGCATCTCACTCCCTCTCATTCATCTTTTGGACCTCTGAAAGTCCGAAGTCCATTAATCTCATCCTTCCATTGTTTTCTGGGTACTTTTTTAACCTTTTATTTGTTTGTTTTCAGTTGACCTGATGTTCTTATCCAAATGCAATTCTGTGTTAATGTTAATTCCTTTTTTAGTTAACAGTATCGCTGTTATGAAGGTATTTCATAGAATCATTGAATGTGGTTGAAAAGGACCACAATGATCACCTAGTTTCAACCCCCCCTGATATGTGCAGGATTACCAAACACTAGATTAGGCTGCCCAGAGCAGCCTGTGCCTATTGATTTGTATGAACTTTCATATTTTATTTAATCTTTATTGCAAGGACTGCATTATAGTATACTTTCTCTGTGCAGGACTCTTTTTTTTTTTTTTTTTTAATTTATCTAATTTGCACAGAAAATTCATCAGTTAAACAGATCACACTTCTTTTTCTCCTGCTCAAGTTGCTTTGATGTGTGTTTTGACCATTATCTTCACAACATTTCTTCTGAAACTTCAAGTGGATTTTTCAGTTCAGCCATGTCATCTTTTAGATCTATCTGTATGAAACTTTCAGTATGCTGTTCGTTATGGAAAGGTACAGTGATGGACTACGGACATCACTCTGCAATGAAAAATAATCAGTTTGCACACAGTATGTGAGTCGTTTCTCCATACTGGCTTATATTTGGATTTCTTGTCCTGTTATGACTGTGAGCTTTAAAATTGATACCCAGGTGTACCAGCACTCACATGAAAACAAACACAGCCTTTTACCTTCCCTATATCTGTGTTTTTTCCCTTGAGAAGTAACTCATCCTGCCTTCTGAGATGCTGATGTGTAATAAAGACATTAAGAAAAGTTTTGCTTCTTCTGATCTACTGTAGGTAGAAATCTCAGACTTGCTTTGTGCTGTCTGACGTATATTAGCTGTATGCAGTAAGTCAGTGTGGGACAAAAACTGTTATTTGTTGTGCTTCAAACATGGAGGAGCTTAGTGCTCTACATCCATAAGGATGCCTGTGTTCATATATTTTTCCTTAAAAGTTTACTTGGTATAATAGGAGAGGTAACTTTTTTTTAATAGTGTTTGGAGATAGAGCTTCTTTAAAATGAAGGGTGGAGAACTATTCTGTGATTCTGTGAACTGAAGTATCACCAACAATATCAGAGGCATGAAGGGCTGAAGTGTACTTTCTCAGTTTTCAGCAGTCACTTTGAGAATCCACCTGCAAGTTTCCTGTCTGATTAATGAGCACTGGTAATGAGGCTAGACTGACAATCCAGGGTGAGATTGAATCTGCACTTTGAACTTCTCCAGGGATGGGAAATCCGCAACTTCTCTGGACAATGCATTCCAGTACATCACCACCTTCTGAGTAAATTCCTACTTAACATCTGACCTAAATCCCCCCTCTTTCAGTTTAAAGCTCCTTATTCTATCACTTCTGATTCTCTCTTGTCCTATTCCTGTCAGACAATGTCAAAAGTTGGCCTCCCTTTTGTTTAGAAGCTATCTCTGAATACTGGAATGCTGCAGTCACTCAAGAGCCTTCTCTTCTCCAGGCTGAACAGGCCCAGTTCCCTTCCCTCAGCCTGTCTTTCTAGGAGAGGTGCTCCACCCCTGTGGTTATCTGGCCATCCTCTGAAGCCATTTCAACAGCTCCATGTCCCTCCTGTACTGGGGGCCCCAGGCTTGGGCACAGTTCTCCAGCTGGGGCTTCATGAGGGTAGAGTGGAGAAGGACAGTCGCCTCCCTTGCCCTGTTGGCCAGACCTCTTCTGATGCTGCCCAAGGTTCTGCTGGCCTTCTGGGCTGCAAGAGCACACTGCTGGCTCATGTCCAGCTTTTTGTTCATTGGGTCCCCCAAGTCCTTCTCAGCAGGGCTGCTCTCAATGAATTATTCTTCCAGTTTGTTTTCATATCTGGAATTGCCTCAACCCAGGTGCAGCACCTTGCATTTGGACTTAAACATGGAAGGTGAACAGTCTGGCTTGACATGCTGAAGTGATGGCTGGATAATTAAGGACTTATGTAAAGACAGCAACATTTACTAGTAGTAAAAGGCATGTGCGTTAAAATAATCTTTAATTATGAAGTGCATGAAGCTGTGGGACTTCGATATTGCTGTTTCTTG